TCTTTTCACCCCTTGAAGGTTAGCTGCAGAAACAGAAAAGTATTCTTTTCCTAAATGGACCTTAATTAAGAATATAATTTGTTCCACTCCACACAGTAAGTTTAATGACTCAGATCTAAATTGACCATATCAGTAGCAGAACAAGGAGTACAGTTCTGGGAAATCAATTTCAGTGTGGTAGCACTGCAAATCTGAGAAGAGAAAGGGATTTTCACAGGAGAAATGGTAGTAGTATACTATATGAGAAGAATTTAGGACTGTATTTGAAAATAATGGGACAATATATTGTAAAGATACCTTCAGATCAGGTGTGATGAGTACTTGAAGGATCAGAACCTTTTGCTGGGAGAGATCCAATTGACAGTATGAGATGAAATGAATTGCTCTCATATAAATGATGAAATGACAGATTGGTTTGTTGGGGTCTGGAAATGATTTGCCTATGTAAGTCCTTATTCTCAGATTTAAGACCCCACCTTGTAAAATGTGCGATATTCTTAACTCTCATTAAAAACCAAAGAAATGAACATTTGTGTTTACTGTGATGAGAGCTGTAGTTACCTCCTGCTCTGGAGTTTATTCTCCAGTGTTACACTATTAAGTGTAAGAGATTAGTTGTTTCCGCTTTTTTCAGAAATAAGCAGTTTACAGATTGTTTTTATTTGGTTCAGAATTACTAACTGGAAAGATTAATTGTTGCTGTGTTGATACTATCACTGTTCATGTGATTCCTTAAAAATGAAATTCTCATGACAGTGACCATAATTTTAATCTTTGGATTTTCCCTTACTCCTCCCATGTGCCTTAGCTTAACTCTTCTCCCCCCTCCTCACCTTGATATAAGAATCCCTCTCTAAAATTTTTTATAAGTACTAATGAGTAAAAATTTGAGTTGCTAATGAATGTTTTATGAATGAGTAGTATTTAAATTTTTTGCTTTTTGGGTTAAATGCAACTTCAGCCTGTGCACAAAGCCTAGCTAAAGGAGAATCTAGCCCAGAGGTTCCCTCTTCAAGTTACTTAGAAGAACAGACCTTTCTTGAGTGTACCTTTGCTTCAGTGAAAAACCGAGAGCCTTACCTAAATAGGGTGAGGGAAGTGACTTTAAGATACTACAGACTAAACGAAGTGGTCTGCATGCATGTTCCCATTCTCTCACACTGTCAAGAGAATGGAGTGGGTAGCCCTGAAAAACTTCTTGCCCAGCTTCAGCAAGATTCACCAGTATTGGTGTATCTGGTTTGTGGGACTGCAGTACGTGATAGTTGAGTACCTGAGGATAAGAACGGTTGAATTTGACCAGAAAATTTTCAAGTAAAACTTCAAACTTAAAAACAACAGGTGGGTTAATAGGATGGTATCAGCTGTAGCATTTACCGGGTTCAATACAGAGCAGACCAATAACCAAAAAGTCATTATTTCCAGTCAGTTACTGTCTCTGGGACTGACTGATGGCTGCTATCTGTTACTCATTGCTACTGGGTAGAAGTACTTTTGTGCAACAACTTGGAGGAGAATTCACGTTGACAGTGTTCACCCTTTCATCTACCAGTTTTTGTAGCAGGACATTTTTGTAATTTGAATCAGTAGCCTGATTAAGTAGTACCTCTATTTGAGCATCTTTAAAGTATTTATCTTTTATTTTTAGTGTAATGATATATTATCCTCTGTGGGGAATCAGTGCTTCGGAGCTGCTGTTCTGGATGAAAATGGGCAAGGGCTGGTGTACCCATGGAGAGTAACTGGTGAAAAAGATTAATGTTTTACTTGTGCAGTCCTGAGTGATGGATCTGGAATACCAGTTCTGTAAGAACAGGTGATGTAAACTACAGAATAACATACTTTGGAAGTAGAAACCTCTTCAGAATTTACCAAAATATTTAGTAGTTCTATACAGCAAGATAATGACCAAAACCAGCTGATTGTGTAACAGTTCATAGAAAAAAATCCTGTCAATAAGGTCAACCAGAAGAAAAAAGAAAATCAGTGGTGAAGTGATTTTTAAGGCGAATGTGTATGCCCGAGTGGCCAGGAAAAGATGGGGTTGTATGCTCTGCGTGTTCCCATGGAAAGTAGAAACAACCCAAATGCAATTGAGGGTACTATTTAATATTGAAAAAAGTACTATAGTCAAGGATATGAGTTTAATTGCTAGTAACTATGGATTTAGCTGGTAAGACTTACTCTTCCTGAATAATCTCAACAGTACCTTCACTATATGGTTTCTTCCACAGAGCTGTTCTTACGGTATGGAATCTATCTTGATTTACATGCTGTCAAGGTTTATCCAAATAAAATAGCTTTTAGGAATGCAGGTATTTCATTATGTGTTGTACTATTCTTGGTGTGACAGTTGTATTAAAGAAAAGCAACAGTACTGTTATGTTGAGCCATTGTTGTTCTGAGACAAAGTCATGTAATGTAATTGTTTAAAAATATTTCACTGTAACAATCTTTATTATGATCTTTGCTTAATGTCAGGTGGACTTGATTTTATTCTTCCACTGCCTCTTTTTGGACAATTGATTTGGCAAAGTGATAGATGATATAAAATAGTACATTTGATGTACATGTCTACAGGAAAAAAAATCCAATAATCTGGATATATAAAATGAAAACTTATTTTGCATTTTAAATAATTATATCTGATTCATGTAACTGTACAGAGACCTTATTAATCTAGACAGTTATTTGAAAGACCGATGCTGTTCTAATGTCACTTGTGTTTTATATATATAGATATGTGTATATATATAAACAAACATGCTGGCATTTCTTAACAACAGTCCGATTTCCTTCTCTTAAAAATAAAGCTTTCTTCTATAATGATTGTTTTAAGAGTGCCATCTAGTGTCTAAAGTTTTTCAATACAAGTTGTGAATTGTAAGTTAACGGACAATTTTATTGAGTGATGGAGCAGAAAAATTATTGCATCATTGTTTTATATTAAACTGGTATGGAACAGTTTAGTAGGAAAAATATTTTTTAACTGCGTATAAGGAATATGAATTTAAATTTTTAACATAAAGAGAAGGTGTTAGTTTCTGTCATGTTACTGTTGTATTTAACTGCTTTAAAGTAGTCGGGTGTTTGAGACGTTCGTGTACTGTTCTTGAAATGAATGTTTTTTTCTTCTTATGTGTCCTCTTGACTTTCAGTTAGAATCTTGCCAGGCTCTAGATAATTTTTAATACAGAAACCAGTATTACTTCCCGTGGCCTAAATACCCTATATTATACCTTCTAACAGTTACGGAAAGACAAACGTGTGCATTGGGAAACTGACTGTTATAGTTTTATGCTCAGAAACTTGTTTTTTCCATAATATATGGATAATGTGGGAGAGTATTGATTTAAAAAAAAAATCTTGCTATAAAATGTTTATACACAAAGAAATTTAAAAGGTAATGCTTTGGTTTGGTGTTTTTTTATGTTTTGTTTAATACCAGAAATATACTAAAGTGTAAAAAAAATTACACAGATCACTTCCTGATCAGTGATTTAAACCATTCTTTTCTCTGAGGAAGGGCCTGTAGTCCACTTAGGCAGGATGTCTTTAAAAGTATCTTATGTTAAGATCAGTTTTAGCAAATAGTAGAAGGACCACTGTTTCAAACTTTTTTTTTGTTCTAAATTCTGCATTGTTTTATTAATGTTGTGTTCTAACTTCTGTTTCAGGAACTTCAGCTCAGGAGGAAGATGAAAGATAGCGTCACTGAAGAACATCTATATTTGGGTTTTTCTCATCAGTACAGAGATAGTATCTTTCCTCTTCATACATCCATTTCACTGTTTTTGCTATCCTACTGTGACTGCAAATTATTCAAAATTTTCTTAGTGCCAACTGATGAAAATGTGGATGATCATTCTGTGACCAAAAACCTCTCTGGCGATCTTGAGGTCCATTTAATCTCCAGGTGTCAGCTTCCAGTGGTTGTGCAGAGCTGCTGTTTGCCTGCTGTTGTTGTGAAAGATGGCAAGTTCTGCCGAGCTGGCCTTTCTGTTGTCTTAAGGCATATAATACAGAAAACATACGAGGCAGATCCATCCAGAAAGGATGTTTTGGAACTCTTAGGCTTTAAGAAGACCTGCTTAAAAGCCTGTGCTGAAGTGAGTGCACCTCTCTCCCTTAGATATATCAATAGGGTTCTTTACAAGCATTAAATACTCTGAAGTAGAATATTGATGTAAACTTAAGTTCTTTTTGTAAGAAACTTAACTTGCTTAGAAAATGAAATTTTCTTAATGGAGAAGTGTCTGTATTTTGGCATAAAGATGAAAAATAATTATTTTCAAAGCTACAGCTTTTTAGCAGCACAGACCTTATGAACCTTAAGATTCAGAAAATAGGTCAAATCTTTCATGTCTAGCAGTGAGTTTCAAGTACAGCTCTTCCAGCTTGAAGTAAACTAAGAAATACCTAATTTATTGTTAATTTTGATTTTTATGCTGTTAGTCTTCATCACTGCCAAGGTGCACTGTTGGCTTTTGTTTAGCTTATGCTTACCAGGATGTCCAGGGTTTTTTTCAGCAGAGCTGCTACCTGGCCAGATAATCAGTCCCTGGCCTGTACCAGTACAGGGGTTTAGTCCATCCTAGGTGCTGGTGTTTTATTGAGCTTCATATTGGTTCCTGTCAGCCCTTCCTCTAGCCTGTGCAGTGAATGGCAGCCCTTTCTTGGAGCTTGTTGACTGTTCTGTTGACCCTGCTGTCTTCCTTGATGAGTGTTCCATCAGCCCCTCCAGGTTAAAGGTAAAGATAATTAAATAGGATAGGCCTCAGCATAAACCCCTAAAAAGCTCCACCTCTAACTGACCTTCAGGTAGCATGTGAAATGTTAACCACTGCTGCCCTTTGAGTTAATATTTCAGCCCATTTATCACATAGCAGTTTACTCATCTGGACTTGCCTTCCTCACTCTTCTCAGGAGGTTCAACTCCACTATTTCATGATCGCTATATCCGTGGTTGCTGTTGATTACTGTGCCTCTAACCCAGTTCATCCCCGTTAGGGAGCAGCACATCTGGGGAAGCATATTCCTGTGTTAGTCCGTCTAGCACTAGCATAAAGGAGTTGTCCTCTGGTTCTAATTTCTTCTTGGAACTACTGGAAAACTTGATTTCATAATTTGGGTGACTGCAAAGTAAGTAAACCGAATGAGGAAAGAGTAGAGTTTAAAAGTTTTAAGCCTTTAAGTACAGATAATAAGAAAAAGAGGACAAGGATAAGAACATGAAAAAAGTAGTTTTAAGGTCCTTTTAGGTTAGACTAAAGTTTTTTGATGTTGCATGCTAAAAAACACTAATAATATAATAATAATAAACACTATAATATCATGCATTTCTCTAAAATAAATGTACTCGGAATCTGTTTGGTGTAATTTGGTTTCATTACCAGCACTTGATAGAGATGACTGTATATATAAATTGATCCCAGCTTTACTACTCTTCAGTTATACAGCCACCCTAAAGTTACACCAAAAATAAGAAATAAAAGCATGTGATACATGATAACTGTTCATTCTGTTATATGTAAGATTTATCATCTTAATTCTGCTGTTGCAAAAGCAGTACAGAATATCTGAGCTTCTAAGACTATCAAAAATGTATATAAAGCTGGAATTTCTTTGCTTTAAGTGGACTAAAATACACCCTAGATTTGTTTCTCGTACTGCAGAGACATTAATTGCATACATTTATCTGACAGGTTAGCCAGTGGACCAGACTTTGTGAGATCAGCATACCCCTGGCTGTTGAAGGATTTTTGACGGCATCTCCTGAGCACTGTCAGACTATTCCGCCTGACATTTTACAGCTTGAAAGGAAGCTGGGAGAGCCTGTCCGAGTACATAACGATGACAAAATTCGAAGGCAGAAACTTCAACAGCAGAAAGCAGATGCTAAGGCTGCAGTGCCTGTACTTGGTAAAGAAGCAACAGAGGAAGGAAAAGCAGTGCAAATGCATGAACCTTCACTCCCAGGTTTGGAACTGAGCATAGCTTTCTCCAAGCTGCTTGCCCAGGAAGTATCAGATGCAGTCAGCAGGGAAGCCCCTCACATCAGAAGAACTAAAACGTCTGACCTTCCGCTTTTGGACCACGTTTTTGCAGAAGGGCTGTATTTTACCTTGGCAGATATAGTGCTTTTGCCATGCATCCATCAGTTCTTGGTAAGTTGACAAGTTCTGCAAATACTAAGTAGTGTATATGCTTAGTTTTTTTAAGAACTGGAAGGTTGTAGAATGTGTTAATTTCGAATATGTTGTGGTTGCAATGTGAACTTAACCTGAAATAGCGTATTTGTCTTTGTTTTTGTACAAAGAGAAAACAGAGATTGGTGACATCACCAACATTGTTTTTAAATACATAGCATATCAATACTTAGTAAACACTGTTAACTCTTAAAATATTATGCTGAAGTACTTTGACACCAAGTTCCCAGAAAATTCCTCCATGAAAATATTTAAAACGGAAACTTAAAGTGTTTGCATAATGCAAAATCAGGTAAGCATGAACCTATTTTCTTGCATGAATTTATTGCACTAGATCTATGACCATAGCTCAATGGATATTTCCTAAAATGAGACCATTTTACCTGTGAGGAAATTTTTGAGTTTTGGAATTTTGATTCCATCAAAAATAGCAAATTTTAAAAGGATGGAGGGTTGAGAGTGGTAAAATCTTAAAATACTAGAAGGGACATCCCCCATGAGAGATTTAAAACGGTCACTTAAAGTACATTGTAATATGCATAGAAAAAAAAGTAGGTAAGTATGAACCTATTTTAATTTTTATTTTAGTGTACTGGGGAGCAAGGCAACATGAATTCCTACCCAGTTTGTTGTACTTTTACTATGTGGGTATTATCTGAATTGGAGTTCTTTTCAGCAAAGACTTGAAACTTTGTGACTTTATCCTGACATGGACAGATATGCTTAAAAGAAAACAAGTACCTTTTAAGGAAATAAAAATGCCTTTCAGAGAGGCAGTGAATAGAGAGAGATTGAGGGACTATGGTGATTTTTTTAGAGATGTGAATCCTTGACTTTCCGTGCTAGAGCTGATGAGGTACTTTGGTATTGACTAAAAAAAAATGCATGAAATGCAAAATTTCATTCTGAGTGTAGGACTATTTTATGTCTTGTGATGTGTTTAGAGATCTGAAAAGGTCTCCCAGTCTATATGTGGAGGAGTTTGAAACCTTCAGAACAGGAAAAGCAGTGACACAGCTGGCAATCAGAGCACCACATGGAATGTGGACAACTGAAGAATAAGTCTCTGCTCCCCAGCATAGAATGTCATTATAGAAACACTGTCACAAGTAGCAAAGCTGATTTTAAAAGCTTTTCTGCACTCCAGGATGCAGTTTACCGGGTTATTGGTTGTGTCAACTTGTCTGCAATTTGCAAAATATTCTTGTCTCTGTACCTTTAGATCAATGATTGTTAAAAGTTCATTTCACCCCTCTTGTAGGGGTGATATGAATAGTCACTTGGCTATTGAATCTTTTGTGGTGAATCTCTCACTTTGTATGAAATTTTTCTGGGCCTGAGAAGGAGATGCTGTGTGAGAGTTTTTTTAATAGCACTTATCTAGTAATTGCCAGTGTCTCACAGATATTTGTTGTACAAATATCTTAACATCTGGATTAGTAAAATATATTAAAATATGTTTTGAGCCTTATAAAGCCATGCAATTAGATTTTTATTTATATTTTCTTTATCCCCCCCACTATGGCCCTCTTTTTCTCCCTCTGAAAGGAGGTAGGGCTTAACAGTGCAAGTGACTTGAGCTCAGCTTCAAAACCAGCTTTACAGTGAGGAAGAAACTTCTGTGTCAAGCTTTTGTGAGAGTCTTGCTCAGCACAGTCTGTGTACTTTGTTTTATGAGGATGCATACACTGAAAAGAATTAAGGAAATGACAACTGTGTCTTTATTTCCCATGGCAATAAAAAGATACAACGAGGTTTTCTACTACCAGTGTTCCTGCAATTACTCTACGAGATTGTTAGCTAAGCTGGTGTCTGCTGCCAGGAAGAGCTCCGAGTGGAGTTGGTATTTGCGGTTTGATTTTGCAGGTTGTTTTGCCAAATTTGCCTGAAGATATTTGAAAACAAATGGAATTCCTGGAGAGAACGCTGTCAGTCAGGTGCAGAGAAACAGTCTCTGAAATCAAGATAATGACTAGTGAACATTAATATGTGACAAATGCCCAGTTTACAGCTTATTTAACCAAGATAATCCTCCTCAATGGATTTCTGTATGGTGATAGCAATATGGGAGTCCAGAAGTAGGTTAATATGGCTGCCTTTGAGTGAAGATGAGTTAAGTTACAGAAATCGTTGTCAATTCATTTCTGTGTTGTTTGTTTGCTTTGCAAATCACCTAATTGAGGATTAACAGCAGCTTCTGTGTGGGTGATACTACACAGAAGTAGTAAGACAAAATTCTTTCCTAAGATTTAAAAACTTCAAGGTATTTCAGTTTTCTTTATTTTTCCAAGACCTTTTTAAATAAGAACATATTTACAGTAAGTTTGATTTACTGGTGCTATGCATGAGAAGATTCTTGGATCTGATGCGTAATTAGTTTCAGCAATCCAATTGAAATTGTTCTGTAGATGCAGAACAGCATCTGTGAGCAGCTGAGAATGCTGTATTTATTTACTTTCCATTTGTGACCCTTGAGCCCTGGTGATCTGCAGCTTATGAAATGTGTTTTGTATACTACATTTGTGTTAGCTCGCAGCAAGGATTGTTCTAAAACATTGGTTTTCAGTCCCGTTTTTACCTAAATGATAAGAGCTCTGGGATAATGTTGCTTTATTTCTGTTCTCTGGTGAATGACCATTTTCTAAGCAGTTATAGCCTGATTCCTACAGTTATCATCAAAATTGAGTAACATGCATCTGAAAGCTTCTTGCAGATAGTGAGTTGAAACTGCTCTTGTGGATGGAAGTGCCAGAGTTTAATTCTGTATTAAAATGTTATTTATCTCTTATAACTGGACTTCCTGGATTGTATGCAAAAAAATAAAAATCATTATAGTTGCATTTCTACTTTGCTTTAAGAGTGTGAATAATAATGAAGTCTTCAATGGGTGTGTGTCTGGAAAGTATCATACAATAAACACGAGGAGACCTGACTAGCTGATTTTAATTAGAGTAAGATAATGAAGCTGAAGAGTTGTTTTTCATTACCTCATTCCATTTCTGTTATCTTTCTGAGGTTAGCTTTCTATTAGTTGTAGCCATTCAAAATTAATAGAAAATTAAAGAAGAGCTCCATTCTCCATCTGGAAGAAATCACTATTCACTTTTAAAAATACAATTTAGAACATTTGTTATCAAGTGTAACAGTGCTTCTTAGAATTGTTTTCCAAAAGACTTCTTCCTTAACTGAATTAATATCTTTCTGCCTGTGTTACTATTAGGATATTAAATAGTACTAAAATTACACAGTTCATCCTCCTTTTGCTCCTTTAGGTATTATAATTACTTGTGATTACCCTAAGAACATTATAAACACAGCATGCAAGAATGCTGAAGTTTTGGGTCATTTCAAGTGACCATTACCAATTTCCACACTGAGGACGGATATGTGGAGGAGCACAGTTTTTGCACGGCCTTTTTTTCCTTTTCCTCTAATCATGGTTTCTAATTTTCTGCTTAAAGCTGGCACAGCATCACAGAATAGTTTAGGTTGGAATAGTTGAGGTTGGAGGGCACCTCTGGAGATCATCATGTCTACCTCTTCCCTGCTCAGCAGGGTCAACTAGAGCCGGCTGCCCAGTGTCCTGCTTAGTCAGGTTTTAAGTGTCTCTATGGATGGAGACTTCACAACCTCTCCTGTAAGAGGATGGTCTTCACTGTTCTAAAACATTTGCGAACCTGAACAAAAATTACTTAATTTCACCAAAAGCGTCCTTTTTACAATTAGCTGGTCTTCATGTAAAAGTGTGATTTGGGTATCTTTTTTGTAATATGTGCATTGTATTCTTACTTAAGGATTTCTTTTTTGTTGGGTTTTTTTCCCACTTAGAATTCTAATTTCTATTAAAGGCCACTTCATCTTACCATCATATATACTTGGTTCACAAAATAAATATAGTAGTTACCATTTTTGTATAAAAGTATGAAATTAGGATGGTAAAAAAGGCTTAAGTCAGTGTATGATTTTAAAAAAAAAAGGTTTGGATTCGGTGCTAGTAAAGAAAAAGTCACAGATACATTCCAAAGACTTCAATAAAGACCAGGGACAAGGCATGCCTGTGCCTGTTTTGCTGTTACCACATAGCCAAAGGTATTTCAGGCTTGCAGCTGCAAAACAGTTGTCAGTGGATGAGCTTTTAAAGGCTGCAGGGTGCCTGTGGGAAAGAGGAGCATTCAGGTACCGTAATGTTTTGCTTAAAGTTCAGTATTCATTGCAAATTACTGTGGGGTTTATTTGTTTGTGTTTTGGGTGGGGGTTGCATCTCCCTTATGAGGAGCGGCTGAGGGAGCTGGGGCTCTTTAGTTTGCAGAAGAGGAGACTGAGGGGAGACCTCATTCATGTTTATAAATATTTAAAGGGTGAGTGTCACGAGGATGGAGCCAGGCTCTTCTCGGTGACAAACAATGATAGGACAAGGGGTAATGGGCACAAGCTGGAACACAGGAGGTTCCACTTAAATTTGAGAAGAAACTTCTTCTCAGTGAGGGTGACAGAGCACTGGACCAGGCTGCCCAGAGAGGTTGTGGAGTCTCCTTCTCTGGAGACATTCAAAACCCGCCTGGACGCCTTCCTGTGCAACCTCATCTAGGTGTTCCTGCTCCGGCAGGGGGATTGGACTAGATGATCTTTTGAGGTCCCTTCCAATCCCTAACGTTCTGTGATTCTGTGAAAATGAATAATTTCCTTGTTAGGGAACAGCAGATAAGTAAGAATATTATTTAAATGGTGTTTTCCTGTTACTGACTGAAATTATGATTGAAATTGGTCATGTAAACCTTTTCATGCTATTAAGCAAATGGGAATGGCAGATAAAGTTTAAATGGCCAGCTGACAATTCCACCTGCAGGCCTGAGCTCTTTGCTAGGCAGCCTTTTGCATTACCATCATGCTGGGGGTAAGCACGAACTCACTTCTGTAGTTCATGCCTTCTTGTGGCTTGTAGGAAGAAATTTACAATAGCAAACAACCTTTCCATTTTCTTTTTCTAGGTTTGCAGCAAAAACCGAGGCAAAAGTCTGGTAAATTTGCCTCTGATATCCAGTTGGTATCGAAGAGTTCAAGAAGTACCTGGAGTAAAGAAAGCTGCTGGCAAATGCAATATGGAGCTTCTCCAGCTTCCAGAGTTGATGTCTGCTCCAGGGGAACAGCTACAAGAGGTCTCTTCAGTTCCTGATGAATTAGAAGAGGAGAATGAAGCCAGTCATTTTATAGGTGGTCCAAGGCCAACTATGACTAAGTTAATGGTAATTTAAGCTATATAATGAGTTATTTTTAGTTGGAATATTCTGCTTGATTTAGTATAGGTGAACTTTATTAGAATTGCAGATGCTAAGTCTGACAGCCTTGAATAGTTTAACAGATTTGCCTGTCTTCTATCTCATATGCTTTGACTTAGAAGTGATTTTACTCTTTCGTTCTTTTCTGTTATTTGATTGATTCAGAAATTGAGCAAAGATAGTACTCCTGGAAGCCCTATCAATAATTCTGAATAATCAAAATTGTCTGAATTGCAATATTGTATTCATCTTTTAAAGATATTTATATAAAGGATGACAAAACCCGTTGCTTTTATGTTTGGCTTCATTTTTCTATTGGTTTTGTTGGGTTTTTTTTTCTATTTGATTAGAGCTTTGAGCATCTGGGAACCCTAACGAGTTTTGTTAAAGAAAACTCTCCATCGTATTCCATAACTTTCAGTATTTTTTGCATATAGAGGCTGACGGCATTTCCTAAAGGAAATTAACATCTTTCTTGTGGAAAAAATACATCTGAATCCCATACAATGTAGAGTCAGCTGCCTGTTTAGTTTCAGTTAGGCTGAAAGAGTTGCACAGTTTCATCTGATGCTGTTAAATTCAGTGGGAATTTTGCTACAAACTTCAGTGGGTAAAGGATCAAGTTCTTAATTTTTTCCCCGTTCACATAGGAAAATGGTATTGTAGCAGAGTTTTCTCCTCATCCATGCCCCAACTGGACCCTAGACTGGACCAATCTACCATCTGCAGTCAGTCCTGGAGAAGGTAAGGACTTTTCTATATGTGTGTATGAATTTAGCAGTGCCTTCTTCTGGTGAAGCTACTTAACTGTTTCACAGGAAAGTATGTCACTTTTCAATGTATTTCAGAGCTCTGTAAGACAGGTAAGCAGTGTTAATCTGTTTTAAAATTCAGTCTGTTGAACACATGACGAGATGACTTCTCTTGGATCTTGAACAGCTAATGACCAAACCAGAAATAAAGGCCTGACCTTGATTCCTGAACTGTATTTTTTTCCTACTGTTCACACTTTCCTGAACCTTTCTTCATATCTAGAACAGTAAATTCTGACTACATGATGTTAATATAGTTGGCATGAGTGTTGTACATGGACTATGTCTCCTAAAGCAGTAGCAGCTGTTTTTGTTCTGATGAAAGTAATACTTGTTGGCAAAGTTTGGTATAGCTGCATGGAAGAGAGTGCTCCCTTTTGCAGCAGTATTTCCTGCCCTGCAGGGCTTGGTTGATTTGCTGGATTGCAGGGCAGTCTGTTGCCTAGTGGCTATAGTTCTGCAGAGAAAAAAAATGATTTATCACAATGTTTGTTGTTTTCCTCAGTGTTGTGAATATTGAATTCCTCTTCCAGCACACAGTAGAATTTCCTCTAAAAGGTCTTCTACATACTGCCAGACAGTAAGAAGTTAGTGGACACTGACTCCCTTCTACAGGGAAGGAAAAGGTTTGCGTTCTTTTGTGTAAGTAAGGTAACTAGAGTCAGTCTAGCCTCAGTGGCATAGAACTTCTGACGTAAAATACAGATGTATACATACAACATATTGATGCTCTTCGATGACCAACACGTGAAACTCCTCACAGAATATGTTAGGAATCACCGAAGAGTTATAAGGACTTAAAAAAAACTCTCCTTTTTTTTTTCTTTTTAAATATCTATGTGAATGCAAACACATATTCCCATCTACAATATACAGGCTATGAAAATGAGATAAAATTTGAAGTTGGTTTCCTCTGATTTGGATCTGCATGTAGTTCACAAAGCTATGACAAAACCCTCACGTGTACCAGGAGTAGATTCATAGTTTTATATAAACTGTCCATCCATCTAACATGAACTGTTTTCCTCTGGTTTTGTCCAGAGAGAACTCTTACCTGGAAAGTTGTGTACCCTGCTTTAATTATTGATCTTTTCTTTCCTTTAGCATAGAAAAAACCAAAACCAAAACCCAAACCCAAGCACTCCTCCCAAAAAAACCCCAACAAAACAAAACTTATGTTTGCATCTGTCAGCATTACATCGTGCTTCTTCAGAGTTTGTGGATATTTTGAATATATTTCCTATGTTCAAGTAGCTTTGTAGTCTGCCTGCTGAAATACTCGGGGAGGATTATGTGCACTGAATTTCTGTGACGAATTCCAGTATTTTGTTGGAAGTGAATAAACATTTGGCTGTAAGTTTTAGTTTATACTTGTGATAAGGTATCTCTTTGCTTCTATTTAAAAGAAAATTTTGAAAGAAATGCATAACATATAAGAACACATAGTGAATGTATATTTGGAAATTCTGTGCTGGAAGGAGTTTCTGGGACTTGGTTTGGCTGGGGGGTGGAAATCAACTCCTGCTTCTTCCTGCCTACATGCATGCTTGCCCTCTCTTACTCTGTGTTTGCTGAAATAGTTGCTAATGACGTTGATATCTGAAATCAATCGATTTTCAGTTCAATTTTGGGGAAGATTTGCTAGCTCAATGAAGTGCTAAGAGAGAGATTTCACCTCCCTCCATCCAAGATCACAGTGATGCTGTTGCCGTTTTCTGATTTTGGGAAGCTTCAAATGGTTGTCCTTTTAGTCTGGGAGCAACAGAGTCACATAGGACAAAAAGAAATTTCCTGATATGAGAATCGATTTTGCTTTTCATGTGGATACATCTGCATGCTTCGCTGTTCTAAGTGATACTGTTCTGTTTTCTGATTCTTCTGCTAGTACAGCCTAGTCATTGTTACATGAATTGAATTTTTCTCATTTTACTACTAAATCCTACCTGGCATGCTAGGAAAAGATTCACTGAATCTGGCAGGGTTTTAAACTGGATTTGAGTAATGCAATTCAAGCACTCAAACAGATCACCAGTATAATTGGTGAATAAATTTCTTCTTACTAATGTTCATAAGTGGTTGAGACAAAGTAGAGAATGTTTCAGTTAAAACTCACTTTGTTTTTTATACACAGTAAATTTAATGTGCTGGCAAATCTTAATTTAAAAGCATGCATGATAGACTAAGCTGAGACAAAGCAAAGACAACTCAGAATTTGTGTTATATGTTTGCGGCAATTCTGGAATTGAATTGTTCAGTCTTTCTGTGGGACTGATGAGACCACCTTGCGGCCACAGGTATTTACTACAGAAAAGAATTGCTGATGGTTGCAAATAATTATTTAGATTATACGTTTAAGTTCATTCCATTTTTTTTGATAAGGGTTATTTACTGTTGCAAAACTAAAGATTATGACATCATGATTTGCATTTCATTTGCTTAGTCATATTTCTGGAGCAGAATGAGGTAGCTAGAATGGAGTAGAATAGGCTATTTCAGTTGGAAGGGACCAACGATCACCTGGTCCAACTGCCTGACCAATTCAGGGCTGACCAAGCTGAAGCGTGTTAAGGGCATTGTCCAAACACCTCTTAAACACGGACAGGCTTGGGACATCGACCACCTGTCTCGGAAGCCAGTTCCAGTTCGACCACCCTTTCAGTAAATAAATGCTTCCTGATGTCTGTTCTGAACCTCCCCTGGTGCAGCTTTGAACCAATTCTCATGCAAAAACTTCTGTTAGTTCTAGTCCTGATACAGTACTTAAAAGGTGCTTGATTGACCAAAATGGACTCATGTTTACATTTTAGATATCCTCCAGCTTTTAAAATTGCTGCTATTATGTCAATTACTTCTGAAATATTTGGCTTCCAAAGTGATACATATCAATCTGTAAGCCTTTGTGAGCATCTGGACTGTATTTGAAACATTGCAAAATATCCCAGAATATAGTATCTTAGTGCCCTCTGTAACTGTTGATGTTCTAGGATATTGTAGCTGTTGAGTTGTTATAAACTTCTGTTTTTAGAAGGAATTTATCACAAAGTACAATACAACATTTTAAAAAATGAATTGTAAATGCTGGTTTCTGCTCAGTTCACTGTATAAAAGGCTGGCCAGTGCTTTAACTGTATTTTTTCTAAGCTTGTTTTCCATATCTATGTTTATATCAGAAATATGTTAATATTGTCCAAAACCCCTCAGCAGTTCATTATTTCTTCCATTTCTTCCAAGTGTGTAGAACTTCCCCCAAGCGCAGAAACCTAAGTCTGGCTAAATACATCTCTTGATAGTGAAAAATTAATTTGTGTAAAAAATCTCAAATCTCAAAAATCTCAAATGCTGGAAACTTGTATGCCACTGAAATATTTCATTAAATGCTTATTTGCAATAAATACTTCAGTTGGCAGTAGATAGAACCCAGAAGTCCTAACCAAGCTCAGTGCTTGGTTTTGTTGAGCTTTCCATAGAAATAAAGGTAGATACAGTTGTAAATGTATACAGACAGTAAAAGAAGGCGGTGGCAAGTCAGAATAGAAAAGCATAGGTGGTCACAGTGTGAGACTGGAGGAAAATTAGATACTTGCACTGGCAGTACAGGGAAATAACCACATGATGTATGTCAGCATAGAAAATGTGCTCATTTTTTTTCCCTGACAAAGTGGTGGCTGAAACTTTGGGAAGTGGGGCTTGTTGAAATAAAAATGCAGAACGAAAATGGTGTGATACTGCTGATGAGATGTGAGGTCTGGGAAAGAGGAGGTTATATTTAATTAGATTTGTGACCAACAAGGAAAAGGGGCATCTTTTCTGTGGCTTCACGGTTCATATAAGGCAGCAGTAGAAAGGATTTCTTTAATCCTGGAGTCTGTGTGTGTGTTCCTGGTCCTGTGTGTGTGTAAAACCGTTCCTCGTTTTCAGGTTAATTTCCTATTAGCTGCAAAAGCTCTCTGGATATCAAGACCGGTTTGACTGATTAGGATTAGAGGTGCTTCCTTTAGCCTCACCCCAAGCACATTAAGGGGGCTGAGAGTGATAACCCTGGTCACTGCTTTATTAATCTGATGATATATGGGGATGTAAGTCTTTGGTACTATCATTTTTTCATTAAGCATCGTGTTCACTGTGAAACAAAAAAAGGGAGAAAGGTTGTGGTTTTTGATGGGAATCTATTTTTTTTCTTTAAAACACTTTTTATTTACTCAAGTTTTTTACCTAACTGTGAAATTCAAGAAAGAGAAATAAGTGACCCGCAGTCTCGCAAAAACCCTTACTGATTTTCTCATAAGTTGAAATAGTTGTTAAGCAGAAAGTACTTAGAAGAAGCAAAGTGCTTTATTTGTGGTGTCTGATTCTGAAATTAGCAGCTAGACTGACAAGAGTATGTATGTGATGGTATTTACTTACAAAGGTAGTGATCAGCTGTGAACAAATGTGTGCTGTTCTTTCCAAAGTGTGAAACTGCTCACAGCATGAACATAGCACGTAGTAAACCACATTCTGTAGACTTGTGAGTCATGCCCTCTTCCTCATGAAAATATTTTTTCTTAAATGAAGGAATGGTAGCAGGTCAGAAAAGAGCTCCTTAGCTGAGCTATGACTTACTGCCAGGTGAATGTGGAAAGACCACTATAGTAAAAACGAGACATGCATGTGCAATAGGAGACAGAGGGCTCAATTACAGACTGTGAGGAGTTTGAGATGGGGGAAGTTAGTTTAAATAATGTAGGTGAATAAATAAAGTCAGATCAAAATAAATGAATGCGTTGTACAAGTGCAGCTTGCTCTTGCCGATTAATGAAAGACAGGTAGCCCTTTAACTTTGTACTTGGTCCTATTCATAGGGCACATTTTTTCCCAAACAAATGCATTTTAATGGATTATGTATAAACATGACTCCCAACAAAGCATGTCAAGTATTTTATATGCTTCGTT